AGTTTGGAAGGAACTGAATGCACCACTGAAAGCTGTACCTAAAATGAAGGAGCCTGAGCAAGTTGTGGCTGTTGACGAAAGGCAAGAGATAATGCACAGCTCAAGTAAGAAGGAAACTAAATTATCTCCAAAGAGCAGGAAAGATACAGGACATGAGAAACAGGACAAGTCTTATCAATCCATATGCATCCTGAATCAACTAGGCAGGAAAATTCCTGAAGGAAGGCTAAAGGAGAAAGTTGGTTCCATAAATAAAGTATATTGCTCTGATACTAGTCACCCTAATATAGGGCCTAGTAATCATGAATAATATCTTAGCATAGAACATCAGAGGGCTTAATAGCTCTCTGAAACACAGGGAGGTGACACAATACCTTTCTGTGAATAAAGTTGGTTTTGAGGGACTACTAGAAACTAAACTCAAAGGAGAGAAAGTAGAGGAACTTATGTTGGGAAAATGGAAGGATTATGACTACTTAAGTAATCATACAGTTGATGAGAAGGGCAGAATTCTAGTTCTGTGGAGAAAAGAAGAATATGTAGTGGAACTGAAAGGCATGACACACCAGGTGATCCATTGTATAGTGCAGGAAAAGCAAAGTAGTAAGCAATACTATGTTACCATGGTATATGCTGATAACTTGGTACAAGGAAGAATGCAATTATGGGAGGATTTGGATAAGGTGGCAAGTAAGACTGATGGGCCATGGTTGATAATGGGTGATTTTAACTGTGTCTTATACTCTGATGAAAGAGTTGGGGGGCTGAATGAGGTAAACTTAGACACTGAGAAATTTAAAGAGTGGGTGGAGAAGTATGAATTGGGGGATATGCAGTCACAAGGAGGAAAGTTCACATGGAGTAACAGACAGATGGGAAATAGTAGAACCTTCACTAATTAGATAGGACCCTGATCAACAATGACTGGTTCCGTCATTATGAAGCAGCATTTACAACTGTTCTTCCAGAAGGAATATCTGATCATAAAGCCTTACTGATTAGATGGGGTGATTGTGTGCCTGAAAAGAAGAAATCCTTCAAGTATTTTAATATGTGGGGGCAATGTGAGCAATTTCTAGATACTGTGAAACAAGGATGGGGAATTGCAGTAAGGGGAAGCAAGCAGTTTGTGTTGATTAAGAAACAAAAAAAGTTAAAAAGTAAATTGAAGGTGTTAAACAGGAGCAGATTTACTGACATAGAAGCCAGAAACCAGGAATGTACAACAAAAATGGAGGAGATGCAACAAGCTCTAACTGAAGACCCGCATAATGAATAGTTGCAGGAAGAAGAAAAAGGAGCTAGGAAGGAGTATCTATTCACCTGTGCAGCAGTTCTAAGTTACTGGAAACAGAAAACAAAGGATCAATGGATACAAAAAGGAGATTTGAATACCAAATTCTTCCATGCCTATATGAAGCAGAAAACTGCCAGAAATAGAATCAGATCATTCATTGATGAAAATGGTCAACTGATTGAAGATTGGGATAAGGTGGAAGATCACTTCATACAATATTACAAAAATTTGCTGGGAAGGAATGTGCAAAGAACAAAGGCCAATAGTGAAATTTTCAGATCAGGGGAGAAACTGAATGTCAGTCAGCAACTCCAATTGACTGCACATTTTACTACGGCTGATGTGCAATTTGCCATGAAAAGCATTGATATGAATAAAAGCCCTGGACCATATGGATTTGGTAGTGGTTTTTACAGGAAAGCATGGAGTATTGTAGGTGATGAAGTATGTGATGTTGTGCTAGACTTCTTTCACTCTGGAAAGCTGTTGAAATAGATAAATCATACACTGATATCCCTGATTCCAAAGGTTGATTCTCCCACTAATGCAAGTGAATATAGACCCATATCTTGCTACAACTCAGTTTATAAATGCATTTCAAAGATGTTGTGTACTAGACTGAGTCAAGTGCTGCCTGATTTGGTAGATTTAAACCAAGGAGCATTCATTAAGAAGAGGCTGATTCTCCATAATATCCTCTTGACTCAGGAGGTAATTAGGCTATACAACAGGAAGAATACAGGTCCATGTTGTGTAATGAAAGTGGACCTAAGGAAAGCATATGATTCAGTACATTGGAGCTTCATAGAAGAAATGCTGACAAAATATAAATTCCCCCAAAGTGTTAAAAAGTGGATTATAGAATGTGTGACCACCTGTTCATACTCACTGAACATCAATGGCAGTAGTAGTGGTTATTTCCAAGGACAAAGAGGATTAAGGCAAGGAGATCCTATGTCCCCACTCCTCTTTGTACTGGTAATGGAATACTTAACCAGGCAGTTTAAACAAGAGGCAGAGAAAGGAGGGTTCAAATATCATGTGTTCTGTGACAAATTGAAGATTGTTTCACTGAGCTTTGTTGATGATCTGCTCATTTTCTGTGGGGCTGAAATTGACAATGTTAGGAGAATTAAAAAGGTTTTGGATCAGTTTTCAGCTACAACAGGACTGAGCATCAACTTACAGAAATCTAGTATATACTTTGGTGGAGTTAATCAATCAACTCAGGAGCAAATTCAGCAAATTATGGGATTTGGAATTGGGAATTTTCCTATGAAGTATCTAGGTATGCGGATTTCACCAACATCCTGGACTAAACATGATTGTGCAGTGATGGTTGAGAAGATAGTAGGAAGAATCAGAAGCTGGTCAACTAGGCACCTATCATATGCTGGAAGGGTCATGTTGATCAACTCAGTCTTGCTCAACCTGAATGTTTACTGGGCAAGCATTTTCCTGATACCACAGAATGTGATTAAGGAGATTGTGAAGTGTTGTAGAGAATTCTTATGGGGAAAAAAGGAGAATGGCAAAGTTTGGAATCTGGTTGCATGGGACATAGTTTGTAGACCAAAAGGAGAAGGTGGATTAAACATAAAAGATCCTACAATGTGGAATAAAGCACTGTTGGGAAAACAACTGTGGGATATAGCTCAGAAAAAGGTAACCTGTATATCAGATGGTTGCATGTATACTGTATAAAGAACAAAAACTATACTGCCCCTCAAAGTAGTAGCTGGCATTGGAAGAAATTAGTCAAGGTGAAAAATCAGTTTTATGAAAAGATGAGAGCAGATGGAAGACAATTAGCTAAAGATGGACAGTATACTGCGAAAATGGGATATCAATGGCTAAGGTAAGCAGGTGAGATATTTCAACCTGCCAAGCTTGTATGGAGTAAGTACAGCCTGCCAAAGCACGGCATGATTAGCTGGCTTGCTTGGCAAGGCAGACTCTTGACAGTGGAAAGACTGAAGAAGATGGGGGTTGACATTGATGATGATCAATGTTTGCTGTGTCAGAGTACAGCAGAGTCTGCAAATCATCTATTTTTCAGGTGTCAATACACTCAAGAAATACTCCAGGAAATCAGGAATTGGCTAGGGATGCAAAATGTGGTAAGAGGATTGCAGATTGGAAGAATCAGCCGCATTTGGAAACATAACAAAGTCAAGAAATGGATTGTCCAGGCTTGTTTGAATGTTGTTATTCACCAGACTTGGATGGAGTAAAACCAAAGACGGGTCACAAAGCAAGAAACAGCAGCACAGGTGAGAGCTAGGAATGTTAAAGAAGACATAACTTGTAGAGTTCAATTTATGTATAGGAAAAGGAAACCATCCGAAGTTAGCTTTTTGACAGGATTAGGCATACTTGTGTAGTCTCTCATGTAATAGTGCAGGGAATGTAATGGTGTTTGTGTGCAGTTGAAATATACAAGCTTACCCTTGATAAAAAAAAAAAAAAAGATTTTCAAATTCTCACTATCATGGCATACCTAGTTTTTTCTTTTTAATGAAAGAAATATTACTTTTTCGTTTTGAAAAGGGATGTATTACTTTTGGTTGTCATAAGTAATAACACAAACAAGAGTGAAACCTTTTCAATATTCCCTGCCCAAAAAATTTAAAAAAAAAATATTATCGATATATTATCATTCAGAGGATAGTGAAATATACAATGAAAATCCAAAGTAACCCATTACGCCTTATATAAGAGCAATGAATGTATACACAATAACTAAATAAAGGTGTAATTTTAGGGGAATATAAAATTTTAACGCTAGAGTGCCAATCAACAATAGAACAATATGAAGTGCCCGAATATTCTCAGCTCATACAAACTCCTCAAGAAATTAGCCCTTCAGCTTCCAAACCACACTAAAAGCTTAGAGAAGATTATGGCGGCATCAAATGTTGCGGTGTCGAACAAACAACTGAAGAACACCGGCCAATTCCGGGTGCACATGCAATTTCTCACACAAAAAGATTGAACAAATATGATTCGAACTTCCATTCGTCATTTCACAAACTCATGTTCAGCAAAGAGACACACATCTTGCTAAAACAAGAGAAACATACCTGCCTTAATAATTAAAGTACAACTCCAAGATGACTACTTAAAGAAACACTCGTTTCGTCATTCTCAGTGTCGTCAGTTTGTACCTGGTAAGTTACTTCAATCAAATTACTAAAGGATAATTTATGACCTGGAAGAGAATTTTGAACCAAAATGATTGTGCAATCATTCCCGCAGCTGTTCTCTTGCAAATAATCCATCTTATAAAAATAATCCAATTTATTGAACTATAACATTACAGCAAAGTGGACTATTAAATTTGGAGGGAGGGAGTCATTTAATAATAACTAAAATGTCCAAATGGTCCCTTACATTTGGGCCTACTTGAATTTATGTCCCTAACATTAACATTTCAATATCATAGTTCCAAACATTATGTTTTCGCACTTTTTTGGTCTCATTTCACTTTTTCCGGCCGTTGATAGCAATCCGTAACGAACGGTTTGGTATGTAACTTCTCATTGAACTTCATAAATATTGTGGATTAAGTTTTATTATTAAAGACTAAAATGTCCAATAATAAAACCTTGGGCTTGTCTGTTGTCTCCCCCTTACCAATATTGGGCTTCAACAAAAGTAACAATCAAAAAGAGGCATCTTGTCTTTTTCGCTTTAAGTTGGATCACCTAGGGTGTTTAACCGGCTGGTTGACCGGACGTTTACAAGGAAACAAACTCCTCACCTCCATGACCCCTTGGGCGATGTGCATTCGACCCGAGGGTTCGAACCTGTCGTAACAAATCGGGTTAGGTTTGTTAGACAAGAGAGTCAATAGTTCATCCTCCACGGTCAACTCTTCCGCTATGCTTTTTATTATTCTGAACTTTTCCTCCACGGTCAACGACATCGATGAGCATGAAGAAGAAGACCCGGTTTCCTGCCGGCGAGTTTGGACCGTCGGAAAATTTTCACGCGGATCGCCGCCGCCATCTTCCAGTTTTAGATACTGTAGAGCGAGAATGTTATCCGGTTGAACGGCAGAGTTTTTATCCATTCTTTTCGCTTTCCGCCTTTGACAAGATAGTCTTTGGATTGATACCCTTGTAGTTGTAGGTCTTTTATAGGCAAAGAATTTTACGAAGAACTGACTACTGATCCGAGACACTTTTATAGGCAAAGATTAGGTTTTTGGGTGTTATATTAGCTGCCGAAACAAAAAAAAAAAAAAAAAAATAGCATCCAAAATTATTTTTACTAAAATACCCTCACAAATTAAACAACATAAATTCAATATATTTTCACTTTTCACTTTTCCTTGAATTCTGTGACGGTGAGTTCCCTTTCCTATTGAGGAATTACAAAATTGAAGATGCGGCATTAAGGGAAGTTAAAAACCTTGGATAGGGAATACAGGCAATTTGGAGGGGGAAAAAAACATAAGAATATATGATCTGTCAAGTTTTTAATTCGTTAATGATTTATTTTCTCTCTAGCCCGGATTCTGCTTTTTTAACTTGTATAGGAGAAGTTGGTAGTAGTTGCTATAATCATTTATCTTATTATTTCCATTTTTTTTTGCTCAAGTTTTCTTAAGTTTTCTTACGACTTATGCTATCACGCTATTCTGGTTCAGAATTATTGGATCAAGTATAATTACGATCATTTCATTAGTGTTGGATATATTTATCAGAAGAAACCGGACAAGAGAAACATGGTGGAAATTTTGTGTCTTTATTGAATGGTTACAATCATGTATTTATAGATTGGGATAGAATCCTATCAACTCAACAACATTAAAGACAAGATAAGATCAAATCAATATAATTCATTACTAAATCAAGTCATATAACTAATAATATTCTAATCTATTTCTATAATTAGGCTAACAATATTGACTCCACTTTCGGTGCCAAAAAGAATTTGATGGAGGAAATTTTGAGATTTACAAACGTTAATGTAAAACTTGAGATAATTTAAGTTACTTATCCTAAATTGAGACGATCATATATGGTTTTTTTTTTAATTAAAATACAAATACATCGAAGTATGGTGTTTGATTCTTAGCTATTAATTCATACATTCATAAAAAAGAATGCTCTTCATCTCGAACATTTTGGTCTCGTACTGACGACAAAATATTCCATTACCCTATTTGTATTGTGCTCATTTCACTTATTTAATACTGTAAGTTTAAACTTTATAAAGCTATTTGTCTTACACAATGGGATAGGAAGCCTTCATTGCGATACCGCAAAGGCCTTGTTCTTGATCATCAATATCTCTCATCATCCGGCCAAACCCCTTTTCGCCCCAGCTCACTCCCCACGAATTCTTCACAATCCAATACTTGTTGCCCTTATCATCTTCGTTGTAACCAATCGTAACGATGCCGTGATTTAGATTTGTTTCGCACGGTCCATCGAAAATTCCGCTTTTATAATGCATGAAGTATTGATTAGCCGCGATCGCGACAGAGACCGGCTGTCTAACGACGGCTTTCATGAGTGCCGACTCCTTATTCGGTGGCACTTCTTTGTAGGCTTTAATGGTGGCAGTAATGTTTCTGGTCAAGGGGATATAGCAAGACCCGTCTTCTTTATAACCGACATAAGGGTAATTTTCGGCGCTAGTGATGCCCTTTCTTTCGACGAGGTATTGAAAGGCTAATGTCATTAGGCCTCCCCTGCAGCCACCGCTTCGGAAATCACAGTCGACGAGCTCTTGCTCGGAAAGGGTGACGAGTTCGCCCGTTTTGATCTGGTGAATGCCTTCCAATGCCCCAACTGCAGAAAATGCCCAGCAACTTCCTGCATCCATGATCATAATTCGAGTAAATAAAGCTCAATTGGTCCCTTTTAGAAGCTCAATATTTTATGTTTCGTTTTAGGACCGCAATACATTTTTCCGAAACAGAATTTGATCTCCTTTCGAAATAATGCATATTTTTTCTTTTTTTTTTTTGGTTAGAATAAGGAGGCTAACGTCTGATTTTATTGTATCTAAATACTTTTTCCAATATTTAAAATACTAAAATTCCCAATTGTCGTCATTTATAATAAAGAAAAATATGATGTTTTTGCGACATGAAGCAATATTATATCTTGAAAAAAGAAAAGATTAAATGGAAAAATTAGCAGATCAACTAATTAGGTGACTTCTACTCAAATTGCATAAAACATAAACTGCTTATAGTTACCGCATCCGCCTTGATTTTTAATGTGTGTAACGGCACCTAACTCCCTCCAATCGATCCTGGAAGGAATGCATGAATCAACATTTTCATCATCTCCAAAAGACGTCGTAGTTGTCACGGACTCCTCGATTCTTTCCTTGGCTGATGGTTTGTATCCTCCATAACGTGATATGAATTCCTCAAACGTCAAATCTGAAAAATCATTGAGCCCCATTACGTAGCTATGATTCCCTTCCTTATTAAAAGACTGGATGAACTCTAGGTTGTCCTTGAATATTTCGAACCGGCGTGCTTGTTCCACGTCATCCTTGTACTCATGCCCGTACATTTCCTTCCAGTTCTTGAATGTTTGAGCAATAGCAAGTTCGTTTATGTTGCTGGATGTGGTGGCTTCAGAAGCTACCGTTGCTGCTAATAGCAACAATGTTATTAACATGTTGAAAATTGGAGCCATGTTGCATGAAAAAAGCTGTGGAAAACTCAGAAAATTAAGGTGAGAAATGCGTTGAAAAGACTTGAAGATAATTATATTGTTGTTAAGGGGGCTTGATGCATTTATTGCTAGGGCTAATGCGAGGAATTTATATACTTACTTGTAATGTGGTTGGCTTCTCGAGTTCTTTCAGATGAAAAAGCACTATGGGGATGGGAATAAAAGAGACAAATAAAGATGGAGTCCAGTTGATCAACACGACTGTCAATATTTGTTTGCACACCGACATAAATATGTAACAGTGGTTAAAATATTTATCAGATATACTTTACGTCTTGAAATAATTTTTTCCTTGTTGAATTTGATTTGAGATAGGGAATATGAGTAGTTTGGAATACGTATACCAAAAAAAATTCACATCGAGACAAAAATGAATCTAATCTTGATCCACAGGAGCATCACTCCTGGCATGAGTTCTTACGTGCCGAAAAAAAATTTGGCCAGATTAAATAAGCAAAATTCATTTGTGTTTCGACTAAAATTGATATTATTAATATGAAGACAAATGAGTTGGTGTTCATTTACTGCATTTTATGTGTTTACAAATTTATTGAGTTTCTTTATAGTATATTCGATATTTTCTTACAGATGAAATTAACTTTGAGAGAAGCGGTGCTTAACTGATAGTGATTGGGAAATGAAAAAAGAAGAAAGCCTATGTCTATGAATGCAATTTGATTAATTAGTATACACAAATATATGCAGAGGTGCATCTTGCTTAAACAGTAATAATCGCGTGCAAATCCTCATTTCACCATTAATTCATTCTAACTTTCGCTCAAAATCTTACGAAGGGCAACTATCATGACGACATTGATAAATAGGTATATATAATACTAATGACTTTAAAAAGTGATTATGAATTCCTACTAGATCAAACGTCACTAAAACTTTGTCTCTTTCTTTATCATCGTAACTCCAGAGAAGAAAAACAAAAACAAAAACTAAGGTGAGCCAGGGCCCAGGGAGACTAGCATTATTGTCATAATTTGTAGATAAATTGAGATGATCGATATTATACCAGCAAAATGAAATTACAACCTTGTTTGTGAAAAACATATTATGACAAAGGCTACGTCAACTTCTTTGCTAACACTTACGACTCCTTATCACAGTTATTGAACAATCCGGATCACTTAACTTTGCATTATTGCCATAACTTTTTCAAAAAACTGACATAATCGATATTCTACCAAAATAAATGAAATTATAACCTTCTTGTTAACCAAACAAACAAACAAAAAAAAAAAAGAAAAATATAACCTTGTTTGTGCAAAGAAGCAAAAGAAGATACATTCATGACGTATTCTGGTGTTTGCTTTTATACAACACTCTCAGCAGGATGATTGCATTAATTAAATCATAAAGTAATGAAAAGATAATAATATGACTAGAAAACTTCACACGATAATTTAACCTAATCAATAAGAAAAGTTAAAACAAATGTTTATGCATTTTACTATGAAATGTTACTCCAATGACTAGACTGATCAAGAACGCAGAAAATGAACTCAATTAAGCAGTTATTAAATCCAAAGATAATATTATTAGAGATGTCAAATTATATTCCCTTCGTAACATAGTACGAGTTCTATCTTGAACTATTTAGTATAATAGAAGTGAAGTCGGAAAAAATATGCATATAATATATATATATATATATTTCCACAGTGACCCTCCAACATGGTTTAACATTATCTTATTCAATTCAAATCCGGCTTATAATAAGGACATAGAGAAGTACATTTCTGCGATCCATGAATAAGAGCCAAAAGCACTTCATGAGTTCACGTTAGGTTACCCAAAAATATATTTTTAAGATGGAAAGTGTGCAAGAAATTTTGGACTACTACCTTTATCTAATAAACTAAAACTTCAACTGATTTCAACATTTCTTCTTCCATTCCGAACTCTGACATCGTTTTCATTGTCAAGTGAACGATACTTATAATTGTTGCATTCTGAATTCTTGTACTAGAACGAAACCTGAAACCAAGTTTCAAGCATGATCATCCAACTGTAATTAATGAAAGGAAACAAAGATGTTCATTATTATAGTGCTTAAACAAACATCATACACCTGGTAAATATTAATTGGCACCAAATCGAACGTAGCACTAAGTTGAACCACCATTTAGAGCCATTTACAAAATTTTGTGCCTTTTCTTGTCTATGAGAGATATTTTGTTGAGAAGGAGGATAAATAAAATCATCTGACCAGTTAATATCTATCAATTTGAATAAATTGTGTAATAATCACACAATGGGATAAGAAGAATCCATTGCAATCCGCAAATACCTTTTTTATCCTTAGCATTTCTCCTCATACGGCCAAACCCGCCTTCGCCCCATTCAAAACCCTATGAATTCTTCACAATTCCATACTTGTTTCCGACATTATCTTCGTCGTAACCAACTTCGACGACGGCATGATTCAGCCTAGTTTTGCACGGTCGATCATGAACATGAATTCGCGATTATCAGCGTCAAGTGAGACCGGAATCGGCTGTCGGGCCACGGCTTTCATGAGCTCCGACTCGTTATTCTGAGGCACTATATTGTAACATTTAATTGCGACGTCAAATTTTTTTGGATCTTCTTAATGTCGCAGCAGCCTTCTGTACCAATATATGGGTAATTTGCTTCGCTGGTGATGCCTTTTCTTTCAACTAGGTATTTGAAGGCTTTTGTCATGTAGCCGCCGCTGCATCCGTTGTTTTGAAAATCGCAATCGACGAGCTCTTGCTCCGACAGCTCGACGAGTTTCCCTGTTTTGATTTTGTGAATGCTTTCCAGTGCCCCCCAACCGCGGAAAATGCCCAGCAACAACACAAATTGCGAATGATTTTTCACTTGTACCATAACAATCACTACGCCTTTCTACTATCTGTTTTATAGATTTTCTTCAGTAACTAAGCATATGTTGGAGTTCCTTCTATTGTGCCGATAACTGAAAGAAAAAAAAATGGTAAAGAATTCATTCAAGAAAAGTAACGGTAGGAACAACGAGGTTGATACTTGATAGGCTATTCATTTAAAGGAACGTTACAATATTAAGTTTGACTTGGATTAATGGTAGGTATCGGGCCAAATTAATAAATATTTGTCATGGTTCAATCCATGATATAAATATGTATAAAGATTAAAATATTTGTTGAAATTATTTTATATTTATAAAGAAATTTAAATTAGTCGGTCCAGTAATTTCGAATATTGAATAAACACTATATCTAAAGAAGAAACCAATGGCCAAGGGATAAGAGATGTTAGACAGTGGAATAAGGCAGCTTTTAAAGAGTTGGTAAAATCACACTTGTATTGATGTATACAGGGATATATATATACACATATTGAACAAGTTACCAAACTCTAATCGTAAAAGTAAATACAACTATTTCCGAGTTACTCCTTTACTCCCCCTCAAGTTGGAGCATGTAGATTCTTAATGCCCAACTTGCTAAGCAAAGTATGAAACCTATCCCGACCCAAAGCCTTGGTAAATAAGTCTACCAGCTGCAAAGCAGAAGAAATCGGTTGAGGCACCAGAAGTTTCGACTGAAAATGCTGTCGAATAAAATGACAATCAATCTCAATATGCTTAGTACGCTCATGAAAAACCGGATTAGCAACAATATAAAGTGCTGCCTGATTATCACAGAACAAAGGAACTGGATTATCTGAGGGAACTCCCAACTCAATCAGAAGTCGTACTAACCACACAAGTTCACTGGTAGCTACCGCCATAGCTCTATATTCTGCTTCTGCTGAAGAACGTAAAACAACTGTCTGCTTCTTGGATCACCATGAAAGCGGAGACATACCCAAGAAGACAATATACCCGGTAGTGGATCGTCGGATAGTGGTACATCCGGCCCAATCAGCATCACAATATGCGCGTAGACGCAAAGACCTATCAGATGGCAAGAATATTCCTTGCCCTGGTGTTGTCTTCAAGTAGCGCATGACGCGCATTGCAGCATCAAAATGTGACTGACGTGGCTTATGCATAAACTGACTAAGGACATGGACCGCATAAGAAATGTCCGGACGAGTAATGGTCAAATACAGAAGACGACCAACAATGCGTCGGTATCGACCAGGATCATCATACAACGTTCCGGAATCAAGATCCAAGCCATGCTGTTGTTCCATTGGAGTGGAACTCGGACGACAACCAGTAAGTCCACATTCAGTCAGTATGTCAAGTGTGTACTTCCTTTGACTAAGTGCAATCCCAACAGAAGATCGGGCTACCTCAATGCCTAAGAAGTACTTAAGGGGGCCAAGATCCTTAATATGAAAACGACCATGAAGATACCTCTTAAGTCGACCAATCTTAAGGGAATCATTACCAGCCACGATTATATCGTCGACATATATCAAAACTGCAATAAAGGAAGACCCACTACTGTAGATAAATAGAGATGAATCAGAAGAAGACTCCTTGAATCCAGCAGAAACCAGTGACTAAGTAAATTTCTGATACCAATTCCGAGAGGCTTGACGCAAACCGTATAGAGACTTTTGAAGACGACAGACACGTTGCTCCCCCTTTGTGGAAAAGCCCTGAGGAATTTTCATGTATACTTCCTCATGAAGATCACCATGAAGGAAGGCATTAGTAACATCGAGCTGATGAAGTTCCCAATGACGGACCGAAGCAACAGCAAGGAGACAACGAATGGTAACCAATTTAGCGACAGGAGCAAAAGTCTCATGAAAATCAACCCCTTCAATCTGTGTATAGCTTTGGCAACCAGACGTGCCTTGTAGCGCTCAACACGGCCATCAGGAAGGAACTTAACCTTGTACACCCATTTAGAATCAATGGCTCGCTTACCAGGAGGCAAAGGAACGAGCTGCCAAGTATGATTGGCCTCAAGAGCCGAGATTTCTTTGGCCATAGCATCGCGCCAGTGTGCATATTTGACTGCCTGAGAAAAACTCGTGGGCTCATCCACAGAGGAAATGGCTGCTAACAAGGCAGTGTGAGCTTTAGAAAAGCTAGAATAGCACAAATTGTGAGAGAGAGGATGTACCGTCGAGTTGACTG